ATATATATATATATATATATATATAAACAGTTAGTAAAATTAAGTCATGACATGCAATTCTATCTCATTCTGACACATTTACACATTACTAGCGAGAAAGCCCTTTATCCAGAAAGATATAGCCAAGTGTTTTTCTATTCTTCGTGCGAGTGATTTGTGCTGCTCTGTCAACTACTTCCAAATTCCTTCTTTACGAACCTGTTAGGGAAAAAAAAGAACGAATGAAAACAAATTGCAATGATCTCCATGTTAGTTTCCTAAAGCCTAAAACTGGATCCCAGCCCTCCAGGAGAAATAAACACAAACATATATTACAGTATATTGAAAGACATCTCCGTACTGTTATATAGAATGTTGCCTTTGGACAATGGGCAGAACTAATATTTAGTTATGAATACAGACACGTGAAAAGCAAAGTCCAGTTAATAGTAAAAATAACTGTAGGAAATTTACTAGTTTGTTGGGGGTCAAACCATCGAAGACCAGTAAATGACTCTTAGTAAAGAGAAAACTTACCATAATTTTGATGCACTTTCGTGTAGTTGTAAATAGCTTTTCTTAAGGAACCATATCTCATGAAGTTCAATGATCCCATATGTCTAGTAATAAACACAAACATCAGTCAGAATCTATTCAAAGGGGGAAAAAAGAGAGAGAGAAAAAAGCTGTCTTATTGGCGTATCAAGTGAGAATTATAAACAAGTAGGCCCTCACATCATATACCACTTAACCTATGCGATGCAAGGAATTTCTTTTTAAAGGCTTAATTTTTCGGAAATATAACTATGGGTTAGCCACTACTCTTCCTGTCTACCACAGATTTACAAGTGCAGAAAGAAAATATTGGCATGTTTGGATATACTTCTCTGTAAGCGTTTTAGAAAGAAAAAAAAGAGAAGAAATAAGGTCTCTATAAGCTAAAAATTAGCTTTTAATGAAGTTAATATGAGAAAACTTCTACAAATTAACTTATGTATAAGTTATATATAATTGTTGGAGAAACTTATTTCATTTTTTTTTTCTTTTAGAAATATTTATGAAATTTTTTATCTGAACAGACTCTAGGATAAAGAGACAGGAACACAAAGCAAATAATGAGAAACTAAATCGGATCCAATCCAAATATATTCACTGATACTTGAGACATAAACCCAATTTTATTTACAGTAATTTATTTTTCAGATAAATCATCAACAGGCTCTTCCAAGTTGAAAACCTAATACAGAACAGGAAGACCATGTAATAGAGCTACTGCTTTTAGCTTCTATAAACAAGCATAGCTTCACTTCATGTCAATAAACAAACATTTGATTACTGCACTAATCTAATCATAAATAATAGTACTTTCCTAGAAAGAACTTACATGATCTCTGTGTAAGGAAGTCTCCATGCAGGAAAACCAAGATGGCTCCTCACAGGTCCATAAACCAGTAAAAGGTCAGGCTCTGGACCTTTGCTACCTGAAAATAGTAAGTGCTTTATTGTACAACGCAATCAATAAGACTATGAGTGTGTTGAGATACAAGCTTAGAAGAACTTTTGAGAGTTTCTCTACTAAAAATAAAGAGCATTTTCAAGAAGAAAAATTCTCAAAATCCTTTAAAAACCAGTATCCAAACAAACTCTATTAGTAGATTTAGAAGGAAAACATACCAACAATTTGCAATGCCTCATTCAAGTGAGATTCTAACAAGATTGGAACATCTAGTTCTCCACCCAAGTTATGTCGTTTCATGTTCTCCACAAAAATCAAGTTAGCTGCTTTGGCCACTGCCTCCTTCCCATCCACATAAGAAAGAAATTCTAAGGTCATGTGACCTGGAGCATGGTGTGTGACAACTTCACTAATATCCTGCACTGAGTTAATGCTAGATCAGATAAAAAACGTGACATGACGGTAGAAGTTACTTGTTCGACAGCAATGGCATCTGAATGAGCCATTTATGATCCATATTTTCTACTTGTGCATTTTTTTTGGATATAGAGAGAAAATACAAAGAAAACAAATGAGAAGAATGATCATCTTTTCCACCTTTTGTTTAGAAGAGTAAGAAAAGGAAGAAAATGTAAACAGTTTTCTCATTATTGGGAGAAGAAAAACAGGTATGGTTCCTGTACAAAGTCTGTTCTCCCCCTTATCACCTCGTCTTTAGAGAAAAAAGTCTAGTGCCCTCAAAGATGCTTTTCTCGTGCCTATTTTCTGTCACTCCTATTTTGAACCTACCATCCAAATACCTAAAATACAAAATTACTTTCTAGCCTCATTTCTTTCCCTTTGATTTTCTCTCAATTTTCATCATATCATAATTGTGCACCAAGTCTAGACTCAAGATTTGAGAGCCACGTAGCTTATCTAATATATCAACGGCAGCATGTATTTCATCTTCTTAGATAGTACATCCACAGATAGTCAAGTACTATAGGTAAGTCCCATCATTTCCAAACTTTTAAGCCAAGGACAATTGGAAATGCAATCAGATGTACTCAACAAATTTCATGTTTAAAATCAATTTATTCTAGGATACATAATCTCCCAGAATATAAATAAGGGCTTGTTTATATCCTTTCCCATCAACTATATATGAACAGTAGAAAGAAATCATAGGATCAGACAAGATAAAATGTGGCAAAGGAGGGAGATACCCAAATTGTGATTAATATGGCAAAGAAATAAGACACGCCGATCACAGGCAGGCTAACATCATAAATCAGGAGACAAATTTATTAATATATTAAGAAAGAAAAAATCTGCTGGGAAAACAATTATATGGTACCTCTATGGATTTTGCATTCTTCAATTTTTGAAATATGGTTTCCTTAGACTTCTTCAATACTCCTAGAATGTAGAGTTCAATGAAAATACTATTATATGACCTGAGTAAAAGAAACTTTAACATCACTGATTCTATAAACCTTTCATACCATTCATGTCATAGAGGCACACATTCTTTACACCAATAGAGTCCAGCCACTGCAAAAGTTTAACAACTTTGGAAATCTGATAAGCTTCTTCACTTTCTATAACAATGGCAAGGTACCGAACGTTTTTTAAATGAAGAGACTTGTATTTCTTTAATACTCCCCAAGAGATGAAATAGCTTTCAAACAAATTACCCACAACTGATATGTAATACCATGCGCTGACAATTATTTGCAGAAAGTACCATAGCAGTTGAAGCCCGAGATTTCCGATCTGTACAAGCCTTAGAAAACCCGCAATGAGTGGACTTTTAAATTTTGGACTGAATGGAAAAATATATGCTCAAATGCATAGATTAACCATTCATGTTAAATGTCATCGTTTTCAACAATATATACAGTAAACATGAAGCAACAATAACATGCATTTAGATTGGAATCTTGATACACTAGCATGAACCCTGTTAACAGAATCGGGTTATTTTGAAAAATGTCATAAGCATAATTTATTTATAACATGCAGAATATGTATATTTATTTCGTATTAGAAGTTTTGTACAGACATTTAGATTTAGATTACCAGTTTCTTTAAGAAAAGGTATGGACTACATTTCTGTTAATTCAGTATCCAGATAGTTGTCTTTTTACATCTTGGTCCAATTTTGAGTACATAACAGTATGCTTGGATTACAGCACTTGGAAGTCTTTGATGTCAGTCCCTACTGGAATTTAAAGATTTGTCTATGACAAGCTTGCTCAAGGCATAGGCAAGTAAGGCTTTTATAGCATTGGCCGAATTGATTTTGGGACCCCAAAAATAAGTGTGTTAAAAGAGTTAATTGCAAAATAAGAATATTTAATATAAAATATGTTATAAATTTTAAGAAACTGCTATTATGTTTCTAATAAAAACATTATTGTAAAATATAGATAATTATAGAATATTATAAACTATTCTTTTGTTATTGTAACTTAAGTGAAGAGAAGTTTTTTTCCAATTAGTTGATCTCGCATAAAAGAAAAGCAAGAAAAACAAATTTAAGATAATTTTCTAAATGCATATTTTACATAATCAAAAGGGCTTAACATAATTAACAAATACCGTCGTCTTCAAAGAGTTACTCATGAATTGGTCTGGAGGGTACTAAAAACTGAATAATTACCGTAACAATACAGCGAGGCAACTTGTGAGCTCCATCTCTAAAATTCATTGACCCTAAAAGTATGAAAAACATCAAGTTCATCAATTTCAAAAGGAGAAAGAAGAAAATCAAATAACAAAACACGAAACTACATACGTGAAGAATGCTTAATAATGAATAGTTGGGAAACGGAAGGAGAAGAAAACACAGACGTGAATGCATAATTGGAACGAAGAACATGCCAATAAAAGGCAGGTTAGGATTGAGCAAAGAGCAGGTGGAAAAGGGAAAATGACGATATGGTAGAAGATGAGAGTTAAAGAGAATGAGAATCGCACCTAAAAGAGAACTAAAAATACAAAATCGTTCAAATCGAGAGAATAGAGAGAAGACTGAGAGTGGCTGAGACGTTCAGAACTACAATGTATTTAACCATCTACTGCACCTTAATTAAAATAACAGTGTATGGAATAATGGAATTGCTATTATTTTAAAAATTAATGTCTAATATTTTAAGAAAAAAAATATTAAATACAATAAATAAATGTATTTAATGTTTTAGAATTTTTTTTAAATATTTGATTTTTTTTTATTTAATAAATAGGAGAATTGATAGAAACTGTTATAAATAAAAAATATAATAAAAAAAACTAACATTTTATTATCTACAGCGTAAAAAATAATTATTTATTTATATAACTAAATTTATAATAAATAAATAATTTTGAATATATAAACTGTATTTTAGATTTATGATAAAAAAATTTATATTGTGATACAAAATTATTTTTAACTATTAA